ATCAGCATGTGACTGCAACTTGTTCCTGTTCGCGGACGACTCAGCCCTGCTGGTCTCTGGCAGGAACAGGTTGCAGGTTGAAAAAACCCTCAGCTCCGAGCTCGGCAGAATCTGCACCTGGCTCGCCGATAATAAATTATCATTACACCTGGGTAAAACAGAGTCCATTCTCTTCGGTTCGAAACATAATCTCAGCAAATCCGACGACTTCTCAGTTGCAGTGGGCGACATTATTGTCACAAGTAAGAAGGAAATTACATACCTAGGATCTATTCTTGAGGCAAACCTCTCCTGTGACAAAATGGCATCCAATGTAATAAAAAAAGTCAATCAAAGAACTAGATTCCTATACCGGATCTCCTCTCTGGTAAACAAGAACACCCTGAAGACTCTGGCAGGAGCACTCATTCAAGGGTACTATGACTATGCTTGCATGTCATGGTACCATAGCACCTCCAAGGCGCTAAAAATAAAACTTCAAACATCGCAAAATAAACTGGTCAGACTACTGCTTGACCTTTCATCTAGAACCCACCTCACCTCTGCCCACTTTGACAACCTAGGATGGCTTAGAGTAGACGACAGAGTACAGCTACTTGCAATAGGAATGGTCTACAAGATCCACTACACCTCTATGGTACCCATGTACCAGGGTTTCCGTTAGCCGGTAATTAAAGGTTTTTAGCTGGTAAAATTGAATAAAAACCGGTAAATTCAAAACCTGCCGGTCAAAATGTCCGATGCTCCGATCGATTGGCCGTCGATCATTATCGGCCGATATTCACTCTTAATAGTTTGATCTGTGCTCTCTATAAAGGCCGATCAGGAGAGCTGGATCTGATCGATATGGACATAAACGCGAGTGAAGTATAACCGGACGCGAGAGAGAGATCAGATCAGCTGCTCCATAATCACCTGAAGCCCCGCCCACTGTTTAGCGCGCTGCATGAGAAACTGACGGGCTGTCAGGAGAGAGGGAGGGAGAGAGGAAAAGAGAGGATCCGTTTCTCCCGTGTTATTATTCAAAGTTAATGTAAACTTTTGAAGAATGTACTTCATCTACAACAAGTAGTTTCTTTGAATGTAATAATTATGTTGTTCGTTGTTTGTGGAATCATTTATTGAAAAATGAATCTGAATTTTTCGATCTGTTACGATTATAAACTGTCTGAAGCAATAACAAAATGACTCCCATTAACTGAGTTTTAAACATCAGCATATCCGGTCCTAGTCCGGTAATTACCTGCTAACGGAAACTCTGCTACACAATTCTTATTATTCTTATTGAAACATGACCGGTAAGTTTCAAATTTGTCCGGTAAAATAAATTCTGTTCGGACATTTGACCGGCGAGAAAAAATCCTAGCGGAAACCCTGCCATGTACATGTCAACATTCTTCCCAAAGGTCAAGGAATACCATGATCATAACACCAGAGGGAGCTCCACAAATCATGTGAAACCCAGATTTGGCACAAAAAAGGGGGAATACACGTTTCGTAATTATGCCACATCAAGGTGGAACGCTCTTCCCACAACTGTAAAGGAAAGTAAAACTATACTTACCTTCAAAACCTCTCTTAAAGAGCACCTTCGGGGGAGAGCATTGCAAAACTGGCCTCGGTAATGGTACAAATCTCAACCTGTCGTTCAATGGACAGCTTCCCCCCCCCCCCATCTATGTATATACTCGCATTTTAGACTCTGTTACTAACTGTATATCTGTAGACTTGGTATGTCTTAAATGTCCGGTTAGAATGTATTAGAACGAAATCTAAAATGAAAATTGTAAATAAGCCATCTGTATGTCAAATATGTCTTATATGTCTTAAATGACATGATGAATTGGAAATGGGGGACCCTGATGTAAACAAGACGAAAGTATTTCTCTGGTCTGCATCCCCTTAACAATTGTATGTTTTGAGCTGTACTGTACCCAATATACAAGCTGTTAATAAACTTTTCAATCAATCAATCAAACCCCATTCAAAGTGAATGGGCAGACGCGTTGGAAACCGTTTTTGAAGCTGTGGACGGGCCGTGAAATGTCTTGTCTTACTGTACAATAAACCTGAGCCGTGAAAGATACTCGACCCTCCATCATTCTACATTATTCTCCCGCAATTTGAATGAATCCAAAGTATTTGTTTTTATTTGCTTTTACACATTTAAAAAGAAAAGGTGAATAAAGAAGCACATTAAAACTAAAGTATCAATGTATGTCACATTTAACCAACTAGTGCCCACATGAATGGGTCATATTTAAATCAGTACATTACATGGCATATTATTCAATGTATGTATTTTTATAAATATATTTATTTTGGTAGGTTTGCTCTTCCGTAATACATTTTAATTATTATAATAAAGTACATGTGTCTAATAATACTTACATACTTTTACTTAAATAAGATATGAATGCAGTACTTTAACTTGTAATGGAGTATTTTCACAGTGTGGTGTTTGTACTTTTACTTCAGGATCTGCTACCTGCAGCAAGTGCTGATAAAGGGTCTAAAGTGTTATTAATGTGATAATAAAGTGCTACTGAAGAGTGTAAAGTGTTAATGAAGGGTAAAGGGAACAGACCTGCTCTGTGTATCCGAAGCTGAGGCTGTAAAACAGCGTCCAGTAGTTTCTGGAGTCTCTTGTTCTCCTCTTTGGAAAGAAACAGCTCCTCCTCGAGCTCTGCTATTGTTTGTTCAAACAGAGCAAATATCTCTTCATTAGCAGCAGTGAGTCGCTGCTTCTTCAACGACAGCAGCATTTGGACTTTACTCATGTTTCCTAGATCACCTTTCCCTGCAGACTCCGTTAAACACACCGTTTCTCTCTGCATCAAACTCTCAATCTGACTAGTGTTGCTAACGTGTTTCCAGCTAGCATGCTAAGCTAGCTCCTATAGTCCGAGGTAAACGCTCCAGAAAAAAGAGCACACAGTCCATTCGGAGGTTTATCCAGACACACAGATGATGGACCAGTAGAGCTGGAGCTCACACACACTTTCTCAGGAACACAGAGAGAGAGAGAACCGTAGCGAGGAGACGCCACGAGGATCCAGGTTCTTCTTCTTCTTCTTCTCTCGGTGTTTTGGCGGATTGCAAACAGCTTTAAGGTGCATACCGCCACCTACTGTACAAGAGAGTGTATCACCATATCATCCTATCACCACTTGTGGAATTATACCATTGTGTTGTTTACGTTGTTTTAAATTCTTCCAATCAATCCTGTTCCACTCAAATACTTAAGAATGGCCTTCCTGCCTCTCTTACCCCCTCGCCTTCTGTTTCCAGTGTCCCCATCAGACACTAATCAGGTTGGAAGTATTATAGCTCGTTGCCTTTTTCCCTCCTCGTGGAACTTCTGCATTTGTTAATACAAATAGCAAGCGAACTATCTAACTCTGAAACTTTGAAATAGTCCCATACTACCGACGACATGTTTGTTTACTGTCCTGGCTTCACGGCCGCACACCATTTACGTCACAGCCAGGCTGAGTTAGGGAGGGAGCGCTGGATTTGTGAAAAACTCCCCTCTTCCTAAACCACTAATACCACAGTAATGGCAAAACCGGAAGAGAAGAGTGAAAACAAGCGCCCCTCATCCCAATCCACCCACACCGCAGTACTTTTTCTTTTTTTTTACCCAAAAAATGAATTGTATATTATCGGGGCTATTAATACTTTTATCGGGTTTATCGGGATGACGTCATAATTCCTAATATCGGACCGATAATTATCGTGCACCACTAATACCTACATTATTAGCACGATGAAAGGCTTTAGAAGCATCAATGAAACCCATAAGAACTGATGAGTTATTACCTCTATATTTGTTGACAATTTCCTTTAAGGCGTATATACCAAGCGGCAAACTGTGGGGTAGAGCCGGGAAGCCAATACGGAAGTGCCACACACTGCAGTTCATATATTGGCCGATAGGCGATGGCTGCAGAAAGGAGCAATTTCCATAGACCCCATGTTAAAATGCCCGATAGTTAGATTCCACCTTCATGATTATGGATCTGTGAGTGAATTGTTTTCTAACGCGACCCTTTATATTTATATTAGGTCTTAAAGTTTGTGCATACATTAGGGCGTGGTCACTTTGATGGACAGATACGTGCCTCACTGTCAGCTAACAGCAACTTGTCCAATCTGCTGGGCTACAACCATAGAGGCTACAACGTTAGTTAGTTGTAGTTACTGTACTTGACCCTTTAGCTTTAGCCGCGTTCGTGGTGATTGTGCCTTTTAGGGAATATTGTTACAAATACCAGATAATTAAAATGTCGTGCTGTGCGCTTGAATGTACTAACAGATCTTCCAAGAAGTCTACTTTCAGCTTTTTTCGGTGAGTAAAATGATAATATTATACATGTTAACCCCGTTAGCAGGTGTTTGTGTGCTTGTTAGCTTAGCCTGTTATGTAGCTTATTAGCCAGCTAAGGACGTAACCCTTTATACATATATACAGTTTAGTTTATGATTCAGCCTTGGGTAAGACTTTTATACTATATGGCTATGACGCCCATAATGCTAAACGGGAGCAAATGTTAAAAGGGGCGGGCCGCCGGAGTCCACGCCGCCGAAGCTAACGGGGCTGCAGGGTGCTAGCTCGCTAGCGCGTCCCGGCAGCCGTAGCTAGCACCCTGGGGCTCCGTTAGCTTCGGCCAGCGGCGGAGTCCGGCGTTATAACTGGAGATCAAGGAATGCATCGTAACGCGGACTTGGTTCGCCTGCTATGGAGGACGGAACATGACTTAAGTATAAATAAATAAATGTATGAAGAAATACAGGAATAAATAAATAAATACGTAAATAAATAAATAAATACAGGAATAAATAAATACAGGAATAAATAAATGACGAAATAAATACAGAAATAAATAAATGTTGAAATTAATACACAAATAAATAAATAAAAGAATAAATGCATAAATAAATATGGAAATAAATACATCAATGTATAAATAAATAAATAAAAGTCGAAAATAAAACAGAACACACGTTATTATATATCTTTCATTTATTTCTACATTTACGCGACATACATTTATTTATTTATGTATTTATGTGTCCGTATGCTAATGAGGTGGGCGGTCCTAACCTCAGTCTGAAGCAGGATTCGCCAATTGTTGGAGCCAGGCAGAAGCAATAGATTCGTGGCAAGTCACATCTGTACATTCTGTGTACATTGTCGGCAACTCGCTAATAATGGCTTCGGCTGGAAGGGCGCTGGCAGACCTTCTGCGGGATGCGGCTAACCAGCTTGAAAACTGTAAGTGACTCATGTTTTGGTCTAGTGTAAGACTGATATGACAATGTAAAAAAACTGATCTGTGTGTTAAAATGCCAATGTACAGTTTTGTACCCAATGTGGCGCTATGTTATGTTTTGTGCAGCACCAAGGACCGCTAACGCGCCAGTTTCGTCTCCTCCTCCTCATCCGTTACATAACGGGACTCCCAGACACCCAGTGGACGGTAGGTCTTTGCATCAAATTATTTGTAATGCAAATCCGATCAGTTTACTAAGTTTATATCGCCAATGACAAGTTATTTGATTCAGTTTCTGTCCACCAGCTTGAAGGGATCATTATATTTATAGTGTGTGATGCTAACGCTAACCAACATTTCCCCCCTGGATTCTCGTTGAATCATTATTTCCTTGCACTCAATATTGCTTATCTTCTTAACTTGATCCTAGCCGAAGTTTCAAGACTGTTTGGCCCCTACATGGGAGGGAGGAGGACGGCAGGGCGGCAAACCCTTTCTGGTCCTGCACACCTGCATTCTTATACCCATTTATTCTGTTGCCTTGAGGACAAGAATGCAGCCTTAGTCCCCAACCGATACGCCAAAGAAAGACTCGCTGCTGCTGGCTTTGGTGAAAAACGGCTCACATTTAAAGGTCTGTCAGTCATTAGAATGACGATTATCAATCGCTCTTTCCTTTTCTGTCTATTTTTTATGGTAAATGTACATTTGTGATATATAAATATATTGAGTTACCCTTACAATCATAACATTATCTTTATGTTAGATCTCTTATGTGTATCATCTATTTCTAGGCAGCCATACAGATTCAAATGAATTCCTCGAATTCTTGATGGATGCCTATCCAAAACTGCGGAACGGTGGCGGTTTCGAGTTGCTAAAAATATCTGGCACTACGAGAAGTCGCCACTTGATTGTGATCCCCTGTCCCAATGAGGGTTACTATGTCAGATATTTGAAGGACCCTCAGACCCAGATTGGCCATTCTACGGTTTTCATTAGACCAATGCAAAGAACCCTGAATTTGGACCCTGTAAGTTCCTCACTTCTATAGTGGTGTCACAATATTAAAGTGGAATCTGTGACTTACAGTAACATAATTGTTCGCTTGTGATGTAGTTTAAAACTATTTTGTTTACAGGCATGTCGATCAGAAGGCGACAACGTGTTAATTGGACCAAATCAGAAATGTGTCATCTGTGGAGAGGAGTTCCCCTTTTCCAGAATCAAGGATCACAGCAATAACTGCACGAGGTATTACTCTCTACAGAACTAAACATCACATTCGCCAGGCACACTGCAACTGCATGTGTAGACACACAATAACCAATAAGCATAAGGCTGTGGGATGCTGCAAATGGATGTAAAATATTTTGACATATCAGCACATCTGAGGTTTTATAATTATGGGGCCAGATATTAGTACTTTTTGTTCCAACAATCCCTCTGTAACACCATATTCTGCTGTCCTCTATAATACATTTAAATATGAAAGATATACATTCTGGATGTTGGTTTTGAGGAAAAGTAACATTTGGTTTACTTTTCATTCTATGTATATGCCCATCTTTTTCTAGAGTGTGATATGTAATGTAAAGTATACTAGACCAAATAACAGAAATAACCTCTTTTTACACTAGACCATCACAGAGCAGCGGTGAGGTACAGATTGAGTTGACAACTGAAAGGGCCTCCGGAAGTCAAGTTAGATTTGAAAGCACGTTCACAGGAGCACAGGGAAATGAGACAACAAGGGCCAGGAACACAAGACACTCGGTGCCACCTCAGGAAATGTTGCCTTCTCCTGAGGTAGTTGACATCGATCCCACTGAGGAAAGTGGCTTCTCTGGTGTGTAACATCCTTTATTAAGTACATCATGTATTGCAATAAGTTGTTGCTCTCTACATTTCACTTGATCCAATATTAATTTGGAAACCTTTTAAACTATTTTTAGATTGGAGAATAGCGCCAGATCCCACAGAGGCAGCAAAGATGTTTAAAGAAGACATTTTAAGCCAGCATGCAACTGGAAAATCCTTGTGTCTTACTATGGATCTTGGAGACAGTGCAGCGGAAAGGGAAAGAGCAGTCCTTACTTTTTATAAGAAGGCAAATGTTGAGTGGGCTTGCCCCTTGACATGCTCACTTAAGGGTAATTCGGTTACAAACAAAATCCAAGATAAAAAAATGAACAAACCATATTTTCGTTAAACTGATGTCTGTAGTGTGTGTTTACATTTTTAAGGAGATCCAGCCATTGGTGATGGTGTGACTCGGCATTTCTTTGCAACCATCATGTCAAAACTTCAGGCTGGTTTTGAGATGAAGTTTGGTAAGTAAATATTTACTATGGCTGATCGCTGGGTCTCAGCCACTAAGTTATGTGTGTTTTTGTACCAGTTCCAGGCTGAACACAGATCTGTCCCTTAACCCCAGAAAACAAAACGTATTCCTAAAACCTGATGTGATTGTAGCTGCTGTGAACATGTAGGTTTCTACAGGATCAACCAGTATCCAGTGGCGGTTTGATCATTCCTTTACTAATGCTTTGTGATAGTTGAATATCTATGTCCTTTACTTTACTATCAATTTACTTTGACTGTTTTCCTATATTTGCAGTGCCTGGAGGAACTCTTCTTTTTGAAGGAGAACAAGATCATCTGATTCCCTCCACTTCTCATCTCCTTTTGGAGAGTGACTTCTTTGTTGTTGCTGGCCGAATGATTGGACATTCATTCCTCCATGATGGGCCATGCCTAGGTGGACTGAGCCCAGCTGTCCTGCATGTGCTCTTTGGTGGATCCCCAGAAGAAGCCACAATAGATATTAAGGACTGTGTTGACCTTGATATCCGTGAGACAATCAAGTTGGTATGTTCAATGTTTTTCTAACCTATTTTATTATTCAACCTTTGGATATTATTTATTTAGCTGATCTACTTTCAGATACTGTTAACATCAAGTGGCTACACTTTGCACCAGCAGGAGTTACTGAAGCATTATAAAACACCATGCACTGATATATTAAATATCATTAGAACACTTACAGATGTCCTCCTATAAGATGTTTTTTGACAAAACATAGCTTTTACAGGTTACCAACTAACATGCTGATTATAAGTTAAACTTCTTATGTTGTATCAAAGTTGAATGTTTATACAAGTATTGAGAAATTAACGATTCTTATCAAATTCATTCTACTTGCCATTATTAGCTGGAGGGAACAGCAGAGTTATCATCAGAAGAAAAAAAGCTCATCAATGAGTTGGCACTGTCCTGGGATTTGCCTCTAGTCACATGTGACAACAGGAGATGGCTATTTGATAAACTGATCCTCCATGCTGTGAGTATTCTTAACAGGTCATATGAATCAGACTGACTAATCAGAGTTGAAGTTTTGAAGTAGGACCTCATTTTGGCATATCACATTTGAGCTTTTTTGTTAAATACATATTTGGATGTTAATAGTGTATTAAAACATGCTTATTGGGCTATTAGATCAATCAGGCTGCTTTGCTTTTCTACTGTGATGCAAATATTGTGCAGGTCCTTGGAAGAACCTCCAGACAAGTCAAGCAGTTACGAAGGGGTTTAAAAGAGACACTGATCTGGCCTCTGCTGACGGAGAGGAAAGACACGATTCCCCTTCTCTTTCCAAGAGCATCTGATTTGCAGTGCACACCACGGGTAAGTGATCTCATGCTGCTCAGTCAAATCCTTCCTCCTAACTCACAGGAGTTAGAAATTGGGTTTATTTACTACTCTCAGACCTACATTGCTTTAAGTTTATTAAAACAAACATTCACCTACGCAAACATATTTTGAAATGAAATGATGCTACTTGCTGCTTAAAAGGAGCTAAACCAATAGAACAACTGTATCTTTAGACTACTCTGCTGCTACACAGCAAAACCTGCAGTTTCTTGTATGTTCTGTTTATTATTGTGCTTTCACTGGGCTCCTTTCAAAACGAAATCTGTCAGATGGTGTTGGAGAAGATAAACTGGCCCACACAGGATGAGGATGAAGACAGTGAAGTCTCTTTGGAGGATTCCTGTAGGCTCACAGGATTCCTGCGCACATTTATTGAGATGGGTAAAACAACGTCTTCAAGCTTTGTTTACTGAAAGTTTGTAATTATTATAACGAAAGCTCTCTGTTTTTATCTTTAAAGCTACAGTAACAATCCAAGGCGTAATTTAAGTAACATTATTGTTATTTAACTATTAACTGAAAGCAATTATAATAAAATGAATTTATTCTCTGTTTTATAAAGCATCTCCCGTTATCCTTGGGAAACTTGTGCAGTTCTGGATAGGATGGAATGTGCTTCCTAGACATGGCCTGGATGTGACCGTGGTGGAGAGCAACTTCCCCAGCTCTTCCACATGCTTTCACCAGCTGAAACTTCCAGGACATTACAAAGAGTACTGTATGTTTGAAAGGGACATTCTTGCTGCTATTTGGAGCACTGAAACTGGGTTCGGGATGGTCTGAAGAGACGGACACACCTTAGTACTAGATTTGTTGTCTTTTGTTTGGCCGGCCAAAAATGTATGTTTTCAGAGAGGAAAAAAAACTCAGTTAATGCCTATACTCCGGCCAGTTTGTGTAACACTGAAAATATATAAAGATAAACATGCTTTCCTTGTTATTGCACATAACAAAGAAAGCATGTTTATCTTTATATATTTCAAAGTTTTAAATTGATATTCGTTACAAAATGTTCATTAACTGTAACAAATGTATATTTCTTGATGCATTACAGTAAGTGTTGATTCACAACAAGCATATGTTCAGTGCAACACATGTTTCAAATGACTACTGAACGTAACTTCATTACCATCTAATTTTTATTGTATTAAAATCGAAATATACTGAATCTTGGTACCAGCGTCTTCATGTAACTCAGTCAAATATTGTCACCTAATCGTCCTAGTCGAAACTTTAAAAGACTACATTTCCCACAGCAACAGACTTTTGATACACACACACATTTACTGTAGCATTTCAGTCAACAAGCCCACAGTTTGTACATAGACATTCCACACATTGGACAGAGGGCCATCAGGGTCTGGAAGTCTTTCCACTTCCTGGTCAGTCAGTGAACGTTGCAGCTGAACTTCAGGAACCATAACATGAGGCAGGCGATGAGCACATGGTCCAGTCCAGTCAACTCCAAACTCAATGTCAACCTGCAATTGCAAGAGCTAAAGTTAGAGTCAACCAAAATCAAAGTTTTAATATATTTGTCAGTTAATTCATTTTATATAACCGTTTTGTATCATCTCCTGGAATTCCTGATTAATGTCTCATGAACAGCTGACATCAATCAAATCATTAGAGAGCAGAAAGCCCTGATGTATCATTATCTTCCTTAACCGCTTGTTCTGGTTGATCACAGCATTTTAGGAATACCTCATAGAAGTGTTTAAAGTGCCGATGATATGCAGAATAAAATAATTCCATCACATTCAGTTTCCTCGACAACAGGCCACTATTTGTTACATTGTGAAACTATACTCACTTGTATTATTTGTTTTAAACAGTTTGTGTAATGACAGAAAAAGTGGGTATTAGTGTTAACATGGTCCCATGTAGGAAAGTAAAGTCAAAGTCAAAATAAAACTATTGAATACAATCAAACCTGTATATGTTCCTGCTGGGCCTCACGCTCATGGCGAGTCCACAGTTGCAGTGGGGACCGGTTTCCCTCAGTGCTTAGTCGGTGGCAGTTCCAGCCTTGCTGGAAAAACTGCAGGTGCTTCTGTATGTGGGGCACAAAGCACCAGTGCAGAGCATAGAGATGCACTTCACAGTCAGGATTGAGAAGGCCTTCTCTCTCTAGGTTGAAAAACATTGTGTAGAAGAGATCCAGCACTCCTACATAAACGTCTCTCCAGAGCCTTTCTATCCTTTTGAGGAAAAAGGAAGGAAAATATTTAGTCTGCTCAGTGAACAAAAAAAAAAAACTTACAAATATCACCTTTCACCTACCATAAATGGTAAGTAAATTTAGAATTGAATTACATTAATTAGAAGCTAAGTATTAACATTTTTGCCGATTTCAATAGGAAAATGTTCCTGATTAAGTGGCAAGTGCACAATAATGCCTCTGGAAAAAAAGCTGGAAATTGGATTTAGCAAAAATCATTTTGCTTGAGCAAAGTTCATCAAACTTGGGTGAGGTTTTTATACTGTAAGCTTTGTTGAAACTGGATCAGGAAATATATCAGCTGAACATACTATGGATGTATAAAAAAAGACGGACTAATGCCATATTTATGCCACATTAACTGTTGTTGTTCAATATTAATGTAAGGTTCTCTTGACTGGAAAATACATTCAAAATCCAAGTTCCAACAGTAATTTGCCCGGTCATGCAACGTGCTGGGACTTCCACTAAATAGATGTTTGAAAAATATTGTTATCCTTCTTGTCAAATTATACAGTTGGTGTCATAATTATAGTGTTTGTATTATAGAAATATAACTTTTTTAGTTCTATGGTTTTATCTCACAGAGGAAGACGAACAAAAATACAATTAATAATAGCTAAAGACATATAGTTGACATTGCAATCTTTACCAAGGACTTAATTTGATAAAAGTTTGACTTGAAGTTTAAGGTACCTTTGATTATGGACACTCCTGCCAGCAATGTGTGAATTCCTGTTCTCTCCTCGGTTTGCCACCATGTAGCGTGCAACGTCAACATTTTCTCCACCTTTATCTGACCTCACACGTGATGGCACACCGTAGACATTGGCGGCTTCCAAAAAGCTTCTTAAAACTGTTGCTGCCCGATTGTTGGTGGCAGCACTCAAGTACACGATGAGACGACTAAAGCCGTCAATACCACCATGCACAACAAAACGCCACCTAAAGGGATATGTATAGGCACACATTAAGGTCAATCCACTAATGTATGTACAGACATTTACACATTTTAAAAGGTGCCTTATCCTACTAAAAGTTATAATTACAAAACATAAATCATCTTAATTTTGATAGTAAAAGTAATTTGCATGCAGAGGAATTTGGTGCAATTAATCATTTGATACATTTCATTTATATTTCTTCTTGCAGTGTTTTAACTTGTTTTTATGTCTACAGAATATTGTATGTTGCATTGTTAGAGGAGACTGAGACTTCAGATTTTCATAACCAACCAATAAAAAAAGCTATCATGCATATGACAATATAGCCTTTGAATCTTGAAGTCTGGTTTGCATTGAAGCTGATTGATTATAAGAACACTTTAGATGGTCCCATCTTTTGTAACTGTAGTGAAGTGGATGTTTGAGCAATGCTTGAGTGTTAATGATTATACTATACCTAATCAGTTTGTGATTTCCGTCGATGTGCCATAAACTGTTCGGTGCTGGTACAAAGTACTTCCTACGCCTTCTTGGGTTCAGCTGCAGAGTGCGAATCAAGACTCCACCTGGATCAACACGCCGCATGGATTCCTGGACACGCTGTCCTGTTATATTCGGGGAAATGCAGAGATATGGTGTACTGCAAGTAACATAATGAAAAGTAAAGCATTCCTAAATATGCCAGAATAATGTGATTCATTATCAAGTAGTAAAAAAAAAACACTGCATGGAGGATTATTATAATAATAACAATCCCTTACTTTGTATGCGTATCCCTCGTGCATTCAGGTACCCCACCATCATTTTGTATCCAGAGTTGGGATGATGCTGTAGAATTTGGGTAACAGTTTCATCCAAACTGTTGTCATCTAACAGAGTTAATAGATCTTGGACCCTGATCATCAAAAATAACGAAACAATAGTAAGTCACAATAAACAATAGTCACCTTTTGCACTGTACAATCAAAACACATCAGAATGAGTGTGTTGCTCTGTACTAACCTGCATTGAAAGATGTAGGTGTCATCTGAAACAAATGAGCTGGTCTCTTAAACCTCATTACTATTATTAGGCCTACATCATGTCTGAGGTAATGGTACCTTTGCTTTGTGTACAAAGCATGTTTGTATCTTTGCCCCGACACATGTCTATCTGATGTATTGGTTTCAACATATAAATGGCCTATTACCATTTTAATAAATATGTAAACAAGTAGGCTAATTTGGATGGAGAAAATGTAGGCTAATGAAACGTTATCATTACTAAACACAAGTTAATGCGTCTAACAAATGTGTACACTGATATAGCCTACACCAAAACAATAAAAGTAAGGAAATCCAGACAAAAAACGTGAAAGAATGCGGATTAAACCTACCGTATCCCGTTCTGTGTCATCCTCCGACGAATTGTTCTTTCGCACACCCCGAACACCTGCGCGATGTCCCCAGCGGTGTGGCCCCAACGAAGATGTGCTTCAATAACGTTTAGGGGCAACATGTAAGATGGACGCCCAACTGTCGCCTCCTCTGTTTCCGAGAGGATTTCAAGTTGGCGGGCAACCTCTTGAAGACTCTCAAACACAGCTGGGTTAACATCCACATCCATGTCGAGCTGAGCCAAGTCCTCTATACATCGTTCCACACGAAACTGGACATAGTCTTTTGGTTCTCCATTCTCTAAATGGTCCGCTAATGATCGTAAATGATCTCCAATGGCTCTTAAATCAATATCCATAAATAAACCTTACAACTGTGGATAAACCATGGATGTATAAAGATAAGGGCTAAACAGTAAAGCTCCTGCATTCGAATCAGCGCGGTTATCCAGGCGTTAGTAGTAGAGCCCTCTGCCAGAAATGATCACACACTCCTGTAACCAATCCTGCTTCAGACTGAGGTTAGGACCGCCCACCTCATTAGCATACGGACACATAAATACATAAATAAATAAATGTATGTCGCGTAAATGTAGAAATAAATGAAAGATATATAATAACGTGTGTTCTGTTTTATTTTCGACTTTTATTTATTTATTTATACATTGATGTATTTATTTCCATATTTATTTATGCATTTATTTATGCATTTATTCTTTTATTTATTTATTTGTGTATTCATTTCAACATTTATTTATTTCTGTATTTATTTCGTCAATTATTTATTCCTGTATTTATTTATTCCTGTATTTATTTATTTATTTACGTATTTATTTATTTATTCCTGTATTTCTTCATACATTTATTTATTTATACTTAAGTCATGTTCCGTCCTCCATAGCCTGCAGCCCGCTGTAGTATTAGCTAAATAAATGATGTTGAGCAAGGCTTATTGAGCTGAACACCGCCACAATTATTCTGCTATGTATCGGTACTTATTTTATTTTATTAACGTGTGAATGACAAGCATTAAGAATAATACCAAATAGCTAATTATCTTGCAGATTGTCTCGTTTGATTATGAATGTAACGTTTATATAGTGGAACTACACTGTTTTATCAAAACCAAAGTGCCAAGCAGTGACTTGGTATGCATGTATTTCAGCAGGAAATGTGCAACCTCTATGACATTTACCAACACAGACTATATAGAAATATTTGTAAAAGTTGTTCATGCGTTACTAAGTGAATATGGCATTAACCCTCCTGTTGTCTTCGGGTCAAATCTGACCGATTTACTACTTTCATCAATCATGTTTTACATTTGATTGATACTGAGAGCATGTTAGCTTAGCTTCTTAGCCTGAGCTAGGACTCGAACGTCACGCTCGTTGGCA